GCTTCACCCTGAACCAACCCTCTCCCTGCAGGCTTAGCGGTTGACCCAGTCAGGGAGCCTCAGGAGGCCAGCGCCAGGCCTATCCTAGGAGTGCTCCTCCAGCCCTGGACCCAGCTGTACCCGGGCTCTGCCCGCAGGCCACCAGGGGCCGCCCTTCCCACAGCCGACTAGGTGCAGGGGCAACACAGCGCAGCTCTCAGAAGGAGCCCCAGTCCCAGATGCAGGCCTTGCAGCCCCAGGCAGGACAAGCACACACACCTGTCTGTGCGCAGCCCAGGTGCCTCCACTCTGACACCTCCTTACTAATGCCTGAACTGAGAGCCCCACACAGGGCAGGAGCCTGCACCCCTGGGCCTGAGAGACTCCCTCTTGAGAGATAGGAAGGCCACTGCTTCATCTGGGACGGACCAGGGGAGCCTCTGCATCAACCCAGGGGGCAGCGACAGCAACCCAGAGCTATGACTGCACAGACCCCCTGTATCCACCTGGTAGGTTCATGATCTGGAAGTTGGAGGATAATTCTGGAACACCCTCCATGTGGTCACAATCTGCAACCCACTGTCCACTTCCCTTGTGAGCACTCCATTGTTACCTTCCTGCCATCCAGCCACCCTGACCTCTGGTCCCTACCGCCCTTCACGACTGTCCTGATTGAGCTTTGGCACTTGAGTCCTGCCCTCTGCCTCAGCAGCTGGGAGAACTCAGAGTACTGCAGTCTCCAAGGACAGGGGACAATGTACCAACCAGATCCCAAAGTTGCAGTCCCTGAGATGCAGCCTCAGGTAACATTGGGGGTGGGAGGTGGTGGGTGTTCCTGTAGCAAATGAAAGGCTCATTGTTTCTGCCCTCGGTGAACTGGACCCTATGGCTGAAGGCCGCTACCCAGTTGCCTCCAAGCCAAAGCCGGCCACTGCTTGCAGCTGGGGGACATGAACACACTAGGCTGTGTTCTTGACTAGGATCCTGACATTACACCTCTGGGCCAGCTGTCCCCAGGTCATCTCTAGGGCTTCCAGGTAACATTGACAGGTCTGGGGTGGGACTCTGAGGTGAGAAACTTGTTTTCTCTGAATACAGTCTGCCCCATGAATGGGCCCAGTGATCTTCCATGCCCACCTGAGCAGATGACACTGGCGTCCTCACTATGGCCACAGTTATGGGAGAGCCAGCCTCTGTGGGGGCAGCTCCACAGGTAGGACTCGTGCCCTGAGCAGCTCACGTCATCCAGGACAATGGGCCCTGAGCCCTGGCCAAACCGGGCACTTCCTGGGGCCGACACGGCCCAGCCACATTCCAGCTGCCTGCAGACCACGTTGGCGTCATTGGTGTCCCAGCTGTCATCACACACGGTGCCCCAGGAGCCTTGGTACAGGACCTCCACCCGGCCCTGACACCGGTCACCTCCATTCACCAGCCTCAAAGCTAAGTGATAATCCGTTGCTAGAAGAGATAGAATTATTTGTCATTTTTTTCTGGGTCCAGTGAAGGTTGTATAGTTTATGTGTGGCCATGACCCCTTCCTAGTAGCCAAGCTTCCTCATGCAGATTCATGTCCACACTGAGCAATGGAAGGTGATCTCCCCGCTTCTCGCACCATGGCCCTGGTCTGTAGGGACACAGCCCTGACGCCTGAGTCCGTCCCCCTTGTCCAGATGTCCTCACCAGGTCCAGGGTGAGACAGAGCCGCTGACACCAGGACGGCCTCTGCTGTGCTCAGTGCTATGCTCTGGACAAGGACGGCTCCCCATCCAATACCCCTCCTGTCACCTTGCAACCACAGCCTGGGAGTGCAAATGGCACGTTGTCCTGGAGCCCCGGGACCCCGAGGGCTTGGGAAGACCACTGAGAGCAGCACCTTGTGAAACAGGACACCGGTCCCACTACGTGCCTCGGGACCTCTCTGGACGGTCGTTTTATACTAAGCCTTCTGTCTCCCAAGTTTCCCCTCACTCAACGGTACCCCTTGAGCATGGAGTTTTGTGACCGACAGAGGCAGGGGTGGGGAAGGTACCTGTTTCCTGCGTGGACACTTCTGTGGCAGCAGAGGGATCTGCGGGAGGCAGAAAAGAGAGAGCTTGTGTGGGTGCCCCGCTGGGGAAGGTGCCCCTGCCTGCGGGCCCGGACTGGGCAGCACGGCCGCTCGTTTGGGTCTGAACTGTGGCCCCTGGCAGGTGCTGGACAGCTCTTCTCATCAGCGAGCTCAGAGAAACAGTGAGTGGCGAGACCCTCTCACAGATGTCACTGCAGTCTCAGAGGCTGTGACATTTTCTGAATTAGCCCGTGTGGGCCTTCTTTTGTAGCCCTGCCATGGCCTGGAGCCCAGGCAGCCCTCTGAGGGCTCTGTGCTGTTGGCCATCTGTGAGTGGTCAGCAAACTGCGGTCCCCAGAGGCACGGCTAGGCGACCTCAGTCTCTGTCATCACACACCTGGGTTTTCATGACTTCTCTGGCAGGTCCGTCTTTTCTGAAGAGGCCTCACCCACGCCACTGGGAAGTGTCCTCTGATGGAAGCAGGTAGGAGAGTCCCTGCAGCCACCTCCCTTGTCCCTTAGCGAGGTTTGCGGCTAGATCTCAGGGGCAGAATCCCACGTGCGGGCATGTTTTGGTTTTGACCCCATAACGTTTTAAAAATTGAGCCTGAATGCCTGAGCAGGCACGCTGGGCTCCTCCTTTCTCTGCCTTGACTTTTCTTCTCTGATCCCTAAAATCCTTTCAGCGGAGACCCCTGCCGTCTGAGGGATGGATGACAGCCGTCGTCAGCGGCTGTGTCGACTCCTGCAGCCGGCCGCGTTCCTCATGCCTGCGCACTGCCTTGTCCCTCACCGCCACCCGGGCACCCGTTTTCACAGGCTACAGACTAAAGATCAAGAGCCCAGCCTCAGAGGAGTCAGGAAAATGTCCGAGCTCTTAAAGCTCTCAAATCTATACTTCAAATGCAGAGCTAAAACTCGAACTCGGGCATCCTGACTACGAATCACAGGGCCATTATAAATCGTGGGCACCATACAGGACCTTGTTCTCCAATGGAAATGGGACCCATTTATGGAAACACTGTTCCAAAATTCCCCTTTGAAGGTTAAAAACATAATATTCTGTTTCACGGTGGGCAGAAACACGATCGCATTGAACACCCAAGGGAGCGAAATCGTGAATGTGCCTGTGTGTGCAGCCACTACGGTAGCTGCGAAAGGGTTAAAGGGGAAGAGCCCTGAGCTGTCTGGCATGGCTGCAGGGGACACAGGGTGGCCTGTGTGTGTTTGCCAGAGCAGAAATCCTGTCCCACCTCACCCAACCAGGATGCCACTCTTCCCAACAAAAAGGAGTTAACACCAGCCCCCTTCTGCTTCGCAGGGCAAAGAAGTTAGGAGCCGGCCCTCAGCAGGGCTCAGGCCATTCGAATGAGACTCCAGCAGGGAGTGTCTCTGCACCCAGGCCCAGGTGGAAATAAATGCCCTGGTGTAAGACAAACCAGGAGGAACAGGACGATGAGTCTTCTAGGGGAAGAGAAATCCCCAGGGTCCTTTGGCAACGGCGCTCACGGGCCCTTATCCAGAAGGGTCTGAAAGTTCACTCAGAACTTCTTTCACAGGTCACTGACCAGTAGTTAAACAGGTCAGTGTTTAACTACAAACAAAGCTCCTGCTTCTCATCCCAGGCGCCGGGTCTGTTCAGCTCAGCATGCTCCGTGGCTGTCTGCACTGACGGCACACTACAGAACTGCAGGCTTGTCACAGCTGGCCACCTGGACTGTGCTGATGCTAACCCGCCATTGGCACCCAAAGTGTTCAAAACCAAATACACTAGTCCCGCCTCATCCACAGTTGTGTTTTCCACAGTTTCAGTTACCTACGGTCTGAAAATATTAAATGGAAAATTTCCAGAAATAAACAATTTGTAAGTTTTAAATTGCACACTGTTCTGAGTAGCGTGATGAAATCGCATACCATCCCGCTCCGTCTGGCTTGGGATGTGAGTCATCCTTTTTGTCCAATATCCACACTGTAGATGCAACCCGGCCGCTGGTCACTTAGTAGCCATCTGGGCCATCAGGCTGACTGTCGTGGTGTCACAGTGCTTGGGTTCAAGTCACCCTTATTTTACTTAATAATGGCCCCAAAGCACAAGAGTAGTGATGCTGGCATATTTTCATAATTATTCTATTTTGTTATTAGTTATTGTGGTTAATCTCTTACTGTGCCTAATTTATAAATTAAATTTTATCATAGGTATGTGTGTATAGGGGAAATAAACATAGTGTATATAGGATTCGGTACGATCTGTGGTGTCAAGCATCCACTGGGGGTCTTGGAACATAGACCCCCACAGATAAAAGGGGGCACTGTAAACTCTGCCGAGGCTTTTGCCATGATCTGAGCACCTCGTTCCTCAGGACTGTGCCCCTGTGTGGTGGGGGTGGAGTGGCCACCAGAATCACTTTTAGTTCCAAAAATTTTGATTCTCATTTCAAAGCCCAAACTGAACAAGATGAGACAGTCAGCAAGTCCCATAGGCTCCGGCTCTTCCCTAAGGAACCTTCTTCCCAGAAAGGCAACGCCCTTTTGGGAGGGAAAGGGGAACACAGTTCTGGTTCTTGGGGGAGGAAGGGCCCAACTATTCTCCGTCCTTCCCTCCTTCGCCCTCACCCTGTCCCCACTTCACACACTGTCCCCGAAGGGACAGGTCTCGCTGTAAAGACCTGATTCCATAAAACCAAGAAAGAGAGCAAATAACCAATAGCCAATTTGAAGACAAAAATATGCCTGCCAAATTTGTAAGAAAAATGGTGTTAAGGGTAAACTTAAAGCTTTCAATGTAAATTTTAAAACACCAAGGCAGGATAGTCATGGACACGAGAGTCTTAATGGAAAGGTGTGCTGCCATAAGGCCCTCCCCCAGCACGCGGGGAATGGAAACGCCAGCTGGATTTCGAATGTATGCAGAGGGGGCTTTCCCTGCTTCCCCCACGATCGCCGCATCCTAGACTGTGGATTCAGGGGCTCTGAGCACAGAGCCTGCAGCTGCACACCTGGATGCAGAGATAGCCAGGCCCAAGGGGTAGCCCAAACGAAATGGAGCTTACCATAGATCACGGTTGTTGGGTACTGCCAACCTGCAGGGGAGAGAGACAAAGCAACGTTAGGAAGGAGCTGGCAGGGGCTTGGCGTCAGCGGGGGGCCTGGTGACCTGTGCCAGCGGAGATCCGAGGCTCCCTTGCCCAGAGATGGCTGAGGCTGTGGAGACAGAGCTGTCCACAGAAGGAGCTCTCACTCCTGCCACCACTGGGGGACAGATGGCGTCATTTTAAGAGCATCTTGGAATAAGCAGAGTCACCACTCAGAAAATGCCCCCACTGTGCCCTGCCAGTCCCTGGGGGTGGGGGCAGATCTACAAAGACCAGTCATGGGCCTCCCACTTCAACCCTCTGTAGAAAAGCATCACTTGGCCACCCCCTCCCCGCCCCAAGTGCATGAAGATTTCTCTTCTCCCTTCACTCAGAATCTCTGAACTTTGCATCTTGGATGAGAATTACCCAGGAACAGAACTACCTTCTTCTCCCAGCAGCTCTGAGAGTCTTGGTGAGACACATCTATGGGCCAGGTGACCTAAGGCTGTCATGTACATTGAACTAATCAGTGTGTTGGCAACTGAGCTGGCATGATTAACACATTCCAGGGTCACCAGGGGAAAATGTTACCAAGAGAAAGCTTATTTAACTTTCCTCAGTTCTGCAAACCTACGGGAAAAGGTGTAATTTGGCCAGAAGGGATAGGCGAGTGAAAGTGCTGCCAGACTTACCGAGGCCGGGTGTGGATTGGGTCTGAGCTGTTGGGGGAAAGAGAAAGTAACATTAGGCATGGGCATGTCACGGAGTGGCTCTCACAAATGGATTCAAAGGGTGAACAAGCTCAGGGGGGAAGAGGGAAAACGCCAGGTGCAACAATGACGTTCCTAGGGTGGGATTGTGAAGAGGGCACCTCCTGAAGCCCTAGGGCAGAGTTAAGTGGCCCAGAGTTTCCTTTCCGGGATTGAGCCTGAGTGTGGACCCGGGTAACTGAGCCCCCCAACGCCCATCTGCAGGCACTGTCTGTCTGTCTTAGGGCAGAGTAGCAGCTGCCACAACCCCAGGTCAGAGGCACATAAATGAAGTTCTGCGAGCAGGACCAGGGCCCCTAATCAGAGTCCATACCTGAGAGGGAGGCCCAGGGGTCTGGCCCACCTGAGCAGATGACACCAGCATCCTCGTGGTGTCCACAGTTACGGGAGAGCCAGCCTGTGGGGGCAGCTCCACGGGGAGGACTCGCGCCCTGAGCACTGGGCATCGCCCAAGACAATCGGCCCTGAGCCCTGGCCCAACTGGGCATTTCCCGGGGCTGACATGGCCCAGCCACAGCCCAGATGCCTGCAGACCATGGTGGCATCACTGGTGTCCCAGCTGTCGTCACACACGGTGCCCCAGGAGCCTCGGTACAGGACCTCCACCTGGCCCTGACACTGGTCACCTCCATCCACCAGCCTCAGGGCCAAACGAGAATCAGATCCTAGAAGAAGGCACAGCATTTTTCCTGTGTGTTCCAACTTAGGGACAAGATCTCAAGGCCTGTAGGGCATTCAGAGCCTTCCCGGTGGGCAAAGATCTCTGAGAGCATCTCCAATTGAGCTAGGCTTTAATACATCTTGAATTAGAGTGTTTCATGGGCACAAGGACAGTGGCTGCTCTGCCCATACCCAAGCCTCTAGAGGTTTAGGTGGCAAGAACTGCTCTGCCCAGTTTGCACCCTGGAAGGGTCCTAGAGATCATCCATGTGATCCTTCTAGGAAGACCATGGGAGAGGCCTGATTCCGCAGACAGGAGACCCATGATGCCCCCGCCATGGGAAATGGCAAGTGACTCCCCTTCCAAAGCCCAGGCTACCAGAGCCTCAGGCTATATTGACTGTGACTCTGAGGTCTGTCACTGGAGGTGCCCCGGGGGGAAGTGCAGGGCCTCTGACACCCACAGGCTGCAGGATCGTGATTCCTCCGTGCCGAGAAGGAACCAGGCTGGCCCGATACGGGCTCAGGGAAAGTGCGTGGGCAAGGATGCGGCCCCAGCAGTTGGGCTGCCTATGCTGGTTAGCACCTACCTCTCCCAGCCCTGCAACCACAGATCCAGCACCCCGGGTTGGCCAGGGGTCAGTGTGGGTTAGTGAGGACCCCAGGGCCAGCACTGAGCATGGGCAATAGGACCCCTCGGGACAGGACACCAGGCTCCGCCATGGAGCTCCTTCTTCAAGTTGGTTCCTCTGCAGTCTCAGGGACATGATCCGTGAAGGAGATGCCTGTTCAGGCCTGAGGCCTTTTTCAGAAGGGACCCCTGGTCAGCCAAGCTCCCCCAACTCCTGCGCCATCTGCACATCTTTTGGATCAGAGAGGAACCCATGAGTATAGTGCAGTAACAAGCCCACCGGGACCCCAGGTGACAGACACCTGACATACCGGGCGCTGCAGTTGGTAGCAGGGGTTCTGCCTCTGGCAGACACAGAAGCTGCAGACTGGAGGAGGAGAGAGGGAGAGCGCACTCGGGGCCAGCAGCAGGGTTGGCCCCTGCTTCTCTCAGCTCTGAAGCAAGGGCTGGGAGCACAGATCCTGTGCCACCAAATGCCAGTCTCTGACACTGTGCCGCCCTCCTGCAGGGCTGGTTGCTGTGGACACATCCTTTGCTCCTGTCACCCTCCTCCTGCCTCCTCTGCTGCCACACACTCCATCGAAAAGGTCACCCAGTTCATTAACAGCCCCACCCTTGTCACAAGATCAGACTCTAAATGACATCTAGCTGTCTCTACAGCTCAAACACACCCTCAAGTGACAAATATTTCCATCACTGGGATATTTCTGAGAAGGTGGCCCCAACCAAAAGGAATGGTGGATCCCAGAATGCCAAAATATACCCGCTGGCAGGGCGGCTGCATGGAGCACACTCTCACTTGGGGAGCCCAACCTCGAGAGGTGGCTGGATCATCATGGTCACATCTTGGGCTTGGTGGCGTGTGCACAGTCCAATCCACATAGCAAATGCCTGAGGTTGCCCTAAAAATGGGCAGTTTGCCTAGAAACTCCTCTTCGGGGGACACGCAAGGGGCCAGCATCCTTGGAGGTTTCTTCGTGGATTAAAGGAGCCCCCGGAGTCTGCACACAGCCCAGCGCAATGTGAGCACGTGGCCAAGGCAGCGCTGGGATTTGCCGGGTCGGGTCAGGGAGAATTTCTCTTTTCCACAGAGGGGATAAGTATCTTTTGCTTGTCACTTAATCCCCAATAAAGAGAACATACTAGTTATTTCTCAATTTGATCTGGCATGCATTTAAGCATTGAAGACCAGCAGGTTCCCCATCCTCCTCTGCCTTTAAAGGAGGAGGAACCGCCACCTAGGAAGATATTCATGGGTCACCCAGGCCAGGCTGGCCGTGCTGCTGTTTGTGGGAACCGGCCCACAGAGCGAGTGCAGCAGCGGGAGGGGCTGGGACGGAAACCCGCCTGGGGACGACGCCAGGCAGGCCCCTCAGCCTCCCTGAGCCTTGCATCCTCTGTGAAAAGGGACAGTAGTACCTGTCCTCCAACATCAGATAAGGCGTGGCTTACCGCAGAGCAGGTAAACTGCAAAGTGCTAGCACACACAGACACACGCCTGTGCCGTGACACTGACTCTGAGTCTGTATCAGTTGCTCTCGTAACAGCACAAGGGGGTGACATACACACCGCCTGCGCACACAACACTGCCATCATCCCTGTGGCCACGTTCCATGTGGGACCACCCGCTGTGGGGACACCTCGACAGGTAGCGCTCCAATCCAATGCAGTCCACATCACCAAAGGGAATTTGTCCCGAGCCCTGACCAAAGTGGGCCCCGCCCAGGGCTGACACGCAACGGCCACAGCCGAGCTGCCGACAGACTACATCTGCGTCCCAAGTGTCCCAGTTGGCGTCACTCACGGTGTCCCGGGAGCCTTTGTGCAGGACCTCCACTCGGCCCTCCCACCGGTCACTTCCGTTCACCAGCCTCAGCAGCAAATCCGCATTGACGCAGCAGGGTGCCCTGGGTCTTGGGGCTCCCTGGCCCCTCCTACCACCCACCCTGCTCCATCTCCCCGACTGACTCTCCTCCCTGAAGGACCTTAACTATCACCGCTAGCCCAAGCACTGTCTGTGCCCTCTTCCCACTCTATCTTCTCCCCAAGAGAACCCCTTGTACTCTAAGAACTTTCCAGAGAGCATCCCCAAATCCACCTCTCCGGTCCTGACCCGACTCTGACAAGCCCTGAGTGCTAGACCGGCAATCCCATGGCCTTCTGGACCTCCGCCCCCACCGCCCCAGACTCAGCACAGCCTCGCTCCTCCACTGGAATCCATGGTGTCCCCGTGCTCCTCGTCACCTGCACTGGAAATGTGGCATCGTGTCTGATTCCTCCTTCTGACGTCTCATATCCCCCTCGTCTCCCAGGCCATTTCACTAGGTTAGACCCTCGGCATCCTCTTGAACCCGGCCTGCTCCCAGTTGATCTCTCTGTCCTGGCCCCTCTGTCCTCTAATCCACCCACATTCAAGGATTCAACAGCGTTTATGGCGAGCTTACTCCGTGCTAAGAGGATCCATCTATCTTTAGTGGTTCTTTGTAAGTGATCTTTACAAAATGCAGGTCTACTGAACTCACTTCCCTGCTCAAAACACTTCAGTGTACTGTCCACTCCCCCTGGGATCAAGTCCAAGATGGCATTCGTCCAGGAGTGGCCTCAACCTACCCCTCCACCTCCTCTCCCGGGAAGAAGACCACACTGGGAGCCAGTAGGCACCACGTTCCTGCCTGGCATAATGCCACTAGGTCACCTGCAAGGGAAAAGCTGCCCTGATTATGCAAGGAAAATAGGCAGCAGACTCCTAACAGCAGGAGTTGAATCCTGGGTGTAGCTTTTCAATGGTCAGTGTGAGGTTATGAGAAATTTGTGGTCAGGGAGTGAAAGCTCGGAATGGGATACAAGGGAAGGGGCAGGTTGCTATTGTCGCTGGGGTGGGGGTGCGGTTCAGGGAAAGAGGGAGGAAGGGACCATTTGCGGGGCATGTCTGATGTGCATTCTGGGCCTCCTCGGGCCTTCCTGCTGCCCCTCCTGCTCAGCCCTATGAATGTTCCCTCCAGAAGAGCTCAGCCTCCCTGCCTCAGCCTGCCCCTTGCTGGGTGCCAGTCAGAAAGCTGCCCCTCAAGTCCCCCAGGCCATTTCTGGATGAAATGAGAGCAGGGCATGTAGAAGGGGAGGGATCAACCTCAATAATGCCAGTGCCCCCAAAGCACACAGATGACTCTGATATCTCAAACTTGGGCACAAAGGTCTGTATACTCTCTCTCTCACTGCAGAAAGTAAGGAGAGACGGTGCATTTAGTAAGAGTGATAGACAACAGGAAAAGGCACCTGTCCAATCTCTGCCCTGCCACTTACCAGCCATGCGACATTAGACATAGAAGTATTGGCAAATTACCCAACTGTGCCCTGGTTTTCCCATCTGCAAAATGGGTGTAATCTTAATACCTACCTCAAAGTGTTTCTGGGACAATTGCATTAAAATAGCACTTACTATGTACATTAGTTGAGCACTTATTGTGTGCCAGGCAATATTTTCCATGTTTTCATATATCAACTTATCTAGTATATGAAGATAATTTTGTGCGAGATACATAACAAGTGCTTAAGTGAATGTTAGTTACCTTCAAGATAACGGTCATTATTAATGAGAAAAGGCACTGATTTTTTGTACAACTATCTCTCTTCATACCAAGCTAAAGCTGATCTCAACCAATGAATGACTGAGAGACAAAGAGGAGGAGACGGACAAATGGGATTGGCCAAGCGAGCGCCTGGGACGTGCCCAGGGTCTTGGCACCCACATCTCTTCTCTCTCTCCTGCATCCTGCATTCTGGAAGGCAGGCACCTGCTCTGTCGCCAGGGCCATACTCAGCCTCAAACAGCCAGCAGAGCAGAACTGGCCAGCCCGGCCACTAAGCAAAACCCCTGGAAGAAAGTAAAGACAAAAGGTCTTACCATGGACTGTAGTATATTGGTCTAATTCACCTGGAAGGAAACCAGATTCATCCTTTAAAAAGAGGTTCCTCTGTTTAGAACTGATGTTCCAGTCACAGAAACTGGCTTCCGCTTCCCGTTACAATCACACCAGGGGGCGCTGTGCTTCAATCTTGGGTTTGTGCGCCGCAGCATCCTTGCTAAAATGAGTTCTTTTGTAGCAAATTAAAGTAGGTGGGTTGGATTATGAGGTGCTCAATAATTTTAGATATAATAAAGCACATCTCTTTACTGGGACCCCTGACACTACGGTTTATAGTCACAGGAAGGACGTACTATGTGCTCGGGAAGAAGGGCTAGACCAGAGAAGACAGCTGGAACTGGTTGTTGTCCATGATTCGGGGTGGGCAGTTGAATCCACCCTCCAGTCTAAAATTTGAGGATAGTCAGCATTGACAGCAGCCACTTGGAGGCCCCCTAAATAAGACAATATTTTGGTGTGAGATATCCTATTTCTTCTGACCCATGCCCTGAGCAATTTTTATTCCGTCTTGAAGCAGCCCCCAAATCCAGAGAACCCTGGCTCTTCATTGTCAGTGATGCCAGACAAGGTCCACTGGACTCAATTTTAGTTTTTGAGTTTCTTTATGGGCTGCTCTAACTATATTTTTGAGGATTGATATTTCATAACTTTTATACATTTTTAGAGGTCTTCCAAAGAACCAAGAGAATATTTATCCATTGAAAAGACAGAAGAAAACTCATTGTGTTTTGTAATGGCCATATAGACTCATTGGATCCTTTTCTAGATCCAAGATACATTATGGGCTCTTAGTAATTTTATTTTTCCCATATCTTAAAACATTTTACTATTTCATTACTCAAGGAATTATTTCATCATTACTCCTCAATTGTTAAATAATAAGAAGATGGAAGAATGATAGAATCGCTTAGAAGGAAGAATAAATACTGAAATAAGTTATAATCTTCCAGGGCCCAAAACATTGTATTATCCTTCAAGAGGGTATTATAAAAAAGACCGGAGACACTGTCTTTGTGGCCTGTCTTAAGCTTTCACTGAGCACAGTGCAGAATTCAGAATTTTTCATTCTCTATTTATGATGACAAAGGGAAGAAAATTGACAAAGGAAAATGTTCTGCAATAATCAGAGGAAACAGGAGAAACGCTAAGAGACGGGGGGGCAGCACTCTGGACACTAACCACACAGCCGAAACCTCAGACTACGAGTCTTCAGATGATGATGTCCTAGAGGGATTTCTCAAATTCAAGAATCAAGGAGTCAGTAATATAATTCTAAAAATGAAAATAAAACATGGCGCTCTCACTCACTTCAGTGGGAAGGATTTCATCACACGGTATGTTGCAGCAAGAACTTAGAACATCGCCTTTTACTAGAAAGGCACGTGGTGGTCCCCTTTCGTCTTTCATGACATTTATATGCCAAAATCTATCTGATAAAAAGGAGTCTGCTATGTTTAAATATTCTTGTTAAATTTTCTAATATACTTGCTTTCATGATGGTCTCTCTCCCCCCCCTTTTTTTTTCTTATTTCCTGGTATAAGGAGGCTTGAGGCATTTGATAAACTTCTTGGATTCCTTTTAAATGCAGGCCTGCCGCGCACAGCAGTGACAGTGCAGAGGTTCACGTGTCTCCAACAGAAGACGCGGGCCAGTGCGAGGACTTGCTGTACATGCCACAGAAGGGCCTCGCCTTCCTCACGGGCTCCAATGTGAGGTCCACAGTGGGCTCCTCCACCTGCCCTGCTGCGAGGGCAGTCCATGGCTTAGGAAGAGGGCCACTGAGGCCACGCCCCCCCAAAATGATCAAGCAATTCACAAGGGAAACAGGAAGCCGGAGAATTCCATCAACAGAGACAGCGGGCTGGGGAGCATCTATCCGCACCAGCACACCCCCCCCCATTTCTGACATACCGTCCCTGCGCCCACACTCAAGGACACGACTCTGCCGTTCAACACAGTCCAGATGACGCCATGTGGTCTCCCTTGCCAGCCTCTCCACACCTCGCCCACCCCATCGCCTGCGGTGGGCCCGCTCCCCGTCACTGGGCCGCCAGGGCTTGGTTTTGGGGTGCTGCTTTCACCAAAGCTATCTCCCAAATAAACCTTCATCCTCAGAGTCCCCCCACTGAGCCTGCGGGGAGAGCGAGAGTTCTAGAAGTCATCTGAAAATTAGGTGACTTTTACCCTGTCTCCTGAAATCCATGCATCTAGCAAAAGGTGACACCAGAGAAAACAAATGCGGGGTGGTGGGGGCGAGATGAAAAAGAAGTAAGGAAGAAATGAGGGAAAGAAAGAAGGAGGAGAAGGAAGGATGGGGAAAAGAAGGGGAAAACAGAGGGAGAGGAAAAGAGGTAAAGAGATAATAGGTGCCAGACAGATGAGAGAGAGAGAGAGACAGAGTCAGAGAGAGAGGCAGAGAGAGACAGAGAGACAGAGGCAGAGGCAGAGAGATAGAGAGACAGAAAGAGAAAGAGAGAGAGAGAAACAGAGAGAGACAGAGGCAGATTATGCAGACTGGCGAATCACCTTGTTCTGTTGGTGTCTGGAGAAGTGACACTGAGATGTAACAGTCACAGCGATTTGCCGAGGCTCTTTCATGTTTATCATTTGACACTCTAAGAACGCACAGCCACGCTTGAGTGACTGAGCCTCCCACACTTATCTAAAGCAGTGTGTGACAGACACACACTTAGAATCACTTAGAATCTTAACGATCTCGTCTGTGTTGTTACTCAGCTAACGTTTGCTGAGCAAAATGAGGCTATCAAGGCACACACAGCTGCAGAAAGCAGTCAAGGAATGAGTATTTACAGAGGAAATCTTTTCTGCCTATTTTCAAAGTACGAAAATCACGTGTTTAACCAATTATGGCAAAGTTTGGGGACTTTTTAATAATACACATACACCTCTCCTGAACTTCAGGGATTTTTCTAAGACCGACCAACCATTTCCTTAGTTGAATGACTTACTGAAAACCCTAGCAGGATTATTAGCGTGTTCTAACTGCAAACATCTGTATTTCTTAGCCAGAAGCAAAACAAAGAAAAGATCCCTTCCTTCTATATGCATGCAAACAATCACAATCATCAGCAGAGAACTGCCCCTCCCTTGATGCAAAACTTCCCTTGGGAAGGGAAGTAGAAGATAGAATTCGCCCCAACTGGGTGTGCAGGAGTGAAATTAATGAATATAAAAATTAGACATAATACCTGTAGGTAGAACTGGACCCAGTAAAAGGCACATTTCAAGGATGAGCGTGGAGATCCCCATTTTGCTGGGTTCTTCTCAATTGAATAAAATTCCTTGACATTTATAGGTCCCAGCTAAAAAGGAGGCGTGTCCTCCAGGGTGGTATATTTCTCCTGCTGCCATAAATCAATATAAAGGAACTTTGCTAACAGTCAGTGGCTAATCTGTGGGAACAACTTGGTTGTGTTTGATTAATTGCCATGTGAACAATCTGGCTATCACCCAACTGCGAAATCACTGACATTAGTAATACAATTTCCAACTTCCTTCTAGGTGAACCTCAAACGAAGATTCCCAAGAGCTTCCTGAATATGGACTTGATTTTAATCTTGGAGAGTTTGAATTGACCTGTGGGAAGTCTGCCCCAAAGTTTGGGGCAGAGCAGGATGTGGGCTGCTAGGCAAACACAGGGCAGGTGCCAAGGGGGAAAGCATCTCTTTGGGGTGGTTTGTCCTGGCAGGACAGCCTCTCGTTGGCCCTTGTGCACGTAACCTCACCTTTGAGTCATGTTAGTGCAGGTATGACCAGAAAGTAGAAGGCTTAAGGGGTGGTTCATGGAGACCGTGGCCCACACTAGCTTTGGCCACCGTCTTCGGGGTTCACACTAATTTCTTGACACAGAAGCTGAGAAATTTGTGACCTTAACTGAACCACCTCCAACCATTGCACACGGCTTGGATTTCTTGCCCTTGGCATTCACATTGTATGACGCGTGGAGTTTGGCAAACCCACAATACCTGCCCCAACCTCCACCTACGTGCACACAACCCCTCTCCTCGGGTTTGTTACGTAACTGTCACTTCACTCTTTCAGATCCTCAGTTTCTATCACCAGCCTCTGACAACCCTGTCATACCCCACCAAGCTCGCCAGGCGTTTGTTTTCATCAAGACGTTCTTGGTGGTTGGTAACTCTCGGCTAGAAGCAGACAGCTTTGCAGGACTTGCCTCCGTTATCCTGGCCTGGGCCAGCAGGGTTCTGCCTTTCAGCTGAGACACTAAGGCTGCCGGGTGACACGTGGCTTCCTTGCTGTGTGCTGTTAACTGGTAGTCTCTGTGCTTCCTTCTAGAAGGATACCATGAACCCATGCCCTTTGTCAGCCACCAATCTGCATGCGGGCCTGGAAGCCCACATTTGGCTTCATCTAGGTGAAAGTTACATTCAAGCTTTGTTTTCTTGTTTAATCCTACAACCCTTCCTGCCACTCCCAAGTTCCCCTTCTCCCCTTGAGAACAGACTCAGAATGGGCTCACTGTGTTTCACTCTCCTGCTGTCACCCTGACACTTGATACGCGCCAGGTGACAGGAGAACAGGGCCGCACATCTACCAGGGAATCCCCAAGACCCTCTCCGACAAGGGCATTGTGGCCCTCGGGTTCCTGGAGAGCTGGGCTGAGAATGATTGTGAAGCCGGGTCTGGGGTCACCAACGAGTGCGGCGACGGATGAGCAGTGTCTGTCGTGAGCACAGCAGGGGGGGTGCCGGCAGGAACACGAAATGTCTGTCGTGGGTCAAGTGGGTCAAGAGGTCAAGTGTCCTTCCCACAGGAAAGCACACTGCCCGGTCTCGGAGACGGACATGCATGGTGACGGTCACCGCAGGGAGGTCAGCATCGATGCACGTTGCTGCGAGAACATACGGAGAAAGCATCTAGATCCCACGGCAGGGGCAGTTTCTCAGAGAAGGTGGCACCTAAACAGAGTCTTAAAACGCAAGCGGGGGTCAGCCGCCGCGCACAGGAGTGAGAAGCGTCGGCGAGGAACAAGGCGAGACTGGGTAGGGACGGGGACAGAGCGCCGCCCCCTTCAGGAGACCACGGGGTCTCGTCAGTACCCAGCTCCCCAGGAGCATCCTGCTTGGGACCTCGGTGCCCTCTGGGGAGCCCCACGGCTTCCCAGCTTGTGTCGTTCGGTGACCCCGTCCTTTCCCCGCGGCGGTGAGCAGCACCCATCCTGAGACCAGGGCGGCAGACCCCAGGACGGAGGGCGAGGGAAAGCCTAGCTGTCAGCTCAAAGCCAGCCCGGCTGGCGTCCCGGGCGGGAAGTGGGTGACGTCAGTGGAGCAGTTCGGGTGTGGGGTCCCGGGCACCTGGGCAGAACATGACAGGGCCACGGGCCACCCGCCACCACCATGAGGGTCCTCAGGCTTCCCCATTTTGTCCCAGGGCCCTTTTGCAGGTCACAAGACCCTGTCCAGAGAGGTCTTCTCCTCTGCGGCGAGGAGGGCTCAGCACGTCCGGGTGGAGAGCCGCGGAGGGACGTTCCATTAGCTAACCACGACTCCGCCGTGGAGAACAGGAAGAAACAGAAAGCCACCAAAGCTCCGAGGCTTGGCCCCAGGCCCGGCTAGTAAAGCCCCTTCCCCAGGCATATGTGAGCAGCTCGCTAGGGAGGTGACACTCCAGGGAGGTGACACTCCCAGAGAGCTCCAGAAGGGACAACCCAGCACTTGCATCCCAGCATGGTCCTCACAGGACAGCCCCCTTCAGGGGACACATGTGGCTTTCTCTCTCTCTCTTTTTTCTAAGTGACAGAACCTTTCCTAAATAGAAATTCACAGAGAAGCCCCCAAATATAAAACAGGTCAGCAGGAGACTCTGACTGTGGCAGGGGCGTCCCCTGCCTGCGGCCTTCCCCAGGGCAGGGTCGAGGGTTCCCTCACGGAGGCCAAGCCCTTCTCCCCTAGGACAGGGGCTGCCGGGCACACTTCTGTCCTGAAGCTGAGCCGGGGTCCCAGGCTGACTCCCAGAGCAGCCGATCTCCTCCCTCTAAAGATTGTCGCCACCCACAGACGGGTGCCCTGGCAGGCTGGAGGAAGGAGAGAGTCTAGAGGCAGCCCCGGGCCCCCTCCCACGTCCCAGGAGCCCGGGACTGGACAGCCCAGGGGCACAGAGCTGAGGGCTGGGAGCCCTGGCGGCGGGGGAGGGGTGGGGGCTGTGGCACCTTCCTGCAGCCACCCTTGGCTTCCAGTCACTGCACCCCAGAAGTCCGGGTGACCAGGCCCCCCTCCAGGTGTCAGTTTGACCCCAAACTCTAATTTTACCCTCCCGAGCAGCACCATAATTGTACAGCCATTGTTACCGCTGTAACAATCCTTTGACCTTGTGTGTCTGGCACCTGCAATGTCACTCGTTCTTGTCCTCAGAGAGCCAGTCTTCCTACCCGGGTTAAAAGGGACCCCGGCCCCACCCCACGCCGCCATCCCCACCATGCTCTGAGGACCAACCGAGTCCCAGCGCCCGTTGCTGCCCCTCTGCCATCGCGGCGCCCCGCGCAGTGGCGTGGTCCCTAAGGCCGGCGTCCAGAGCAGCCTGCCCCGTTCCAGCGTCTCCCACGCGCAGCCTCCAGCCAGGCGCCCAGGTCTGCGGAGGGGAAGTGCCACAAAGAGCTGGGACGGGATACAGTCCAGCCACAGACCCCTCCGGCAGCCGCAGAGGCCCCCTGGTGACCCCGGACACACAGAATTCCAGTCGCATGTCAGAAAGCTCCCATCTCTCTCAGAGTAAGGCTGAAAGCCGTCCCCTGGTTTAGAAGGCCCTGCAAGCCAGATCCCACAGCCCCTGTCTCCCCTGCCCACTCTAACCGCAGTCCAGCCCCAGGGCCTTTGCACGGCCGCTCCCTCTGCCTGCAATCTCTTCCCCAGATGGCTAGAGGCTGGCTCCCTGCGCTCCTGCAGACGTTTCTAACTTAGCATCTCCTCCAGGCAGCTTGCTGACCACCCGCCCCTGCCGCCTGCACTCCCAGCCCCTTCCTGGCCACCTCTTCCCACGGCACTCCCGCCACCTGGCCTCCTTCTATTTTACGGCTTTATTCTTCTGCCTGTCTGCCCCCACCAGAATGCAAGCTCCACAAGGCGGGAGTTTTGTCCGTTCTGTGTCTTGCTATCTCCCCAGAACCTAGAGCAATGTGTGGCACGAAGGAGATGCCGCAGAAGTCTCTGCAGACTGATTTGACTGGACGGACATGGGCAGAGCTGGAAGCGAGAACCAGGCCTCTCCGCGCAGACGGTGCTGGCAAGTTCCGCACTGAGTGCCAGCCACAGGAAGGGTTAGGCTGGCGTTCCTCTGCTCATTCAGCCAACACGCGCTGGTGCCTTCCACGTGCCAGACGCCGCTGCAGGTAGTGGGGCTGCAGCCCAGAGCCCGGCAGACACGAGCCCCGCCGCAGGGAGCTTACACACTGGGGCAACACAGACACCAGACAAAAATTCAATAAGTAGGGAGAAGTGTTTCCGACTGCGATAGGAATTATAAAGGAAAAGAACAAGGTGATAGATAGAGCATACCTGTTGTGGGGAGAACTGCTTGGATAGGGCAGTCAGCACATCACATTAACTGAATAACTGTCTCAAGTATGAGGAATATGAGGCTCAGAGAGGTTAAGTAACTTACTCAAAGTCACACAGCTAGAAAGTGGCAGAGCAAGAGCTTGATTCGGAGTCTAACTCCAAAGCCTGGTATTTTCCCACTAGATCCTGAATCCTTCCCATTCCTCCCAAAAGACTGTTTCCGTTCAAATGGTGAGCCTGAGTCGCTTCCACTGCAGGACATCTTGCTATTCAGAAACCTTCAAAGGAACGGGGAGGGAAGGAACACTGGCTCTAAGGGTATCGGACCGAGTACAGATGTTTTTGACATAGACCCTACAAAAGAGTCCAAGTTGCCTAATCCCGAAAAAGTGAAGGGAGGGTATTTGTGACAGCCACACTAGGTCTAGTCTAACGCGACTGAGCCATGTCCTCTTGCAACCCAGGGTCAACTGCGGCTAAGGGGGAAAATAAAAGAAGATGGAAGCTGTGGCTCCCCAGTCCCTCTCTGTACCCCAGGTTTTCTTTCTCTCCCCCACTCCCAGATCCCAAGAGCCATTCCTCCCTCAACAACCATCACCACCCTCCCCGAGTTATTGAACAACTCTTTCCCGCTCGGCAGCTGAGCCCGGTGGAGACCTCTGCACGGGGCGGTTGTGACCAAGCAGCTAAACCCCAAGAGTGAAGGTCCAAGGACAGAGCGAGGGACGCACAGGCCATGGAGCGGC